ATTTTAAAGAAAAAAAAAAACTTACTTATATTTCATTGCATGGAATAAATATTTAACACAATATAAAAAATAGAACTTAATATTTGGTACAGAAACCTTTGATTACCATTAAAGGTTTCCTGTGTGTCTTGACCAGTTTTACACACAATGTGAACAAATTTAGCTTTTCAAGGATATTCAAATTCATTTGAACACACTCGTATTTCTGTCAGTGTACGCTAAAGATTAAGTATTCAATTTACTGATTTTAACACCAAACACAAAATTTAGTCGTAGTCATTTAAAGATGTTGCAAAACACCTTCTGTCCATCTCTGCAAGTTTTGTAAGAGGAACGAGGTACCTAAAGGGGGCGGGGGGTTGAACCAAACCCACTGCTGTCACATCTCCAAGTGCAGATGAGGTGATGATAGCCTTGCAACGGCTAACTTAGACAAGACAGGACTCCCTGGAAGAACATGTTGTATCTTAATGGGAACACACTGGCTAAACGAAGTCTTTAATATTTATTATCAAAACAAGTTGGATGGGACAATGAAGAGGCCAAAGGCAGAACAGCTTAAGCAGTTGTGGCGCTTAAAAATAGATTACACACTGATGTGATTCATCCTATTCTGACCATGCTAGTGCTACTCAAGAACTCCTTTGGGTTTTGTGATGCCAGCATAGCTAGCTTCATTGGTAATTTGTTATCTTAAAACGAGGTTTGCTCTGTGGCTTTAGGACGGAAATGTTGAGTGAAAGAGGTTATAATGACAGTCGTGGGGGAAAAAAAAGAAGCTCTGTTTCTATTGAACAATACTCTTCTGGACACATTATGCAGGAATGACCTGGTAGCAAACATTACGTGCTGTTAAAAACTGTTTCCAAAGCAATATTTCTCCTAGTGGGATTTGTAAATCAGCCTACCTCCTGGAGGAAAATTGGTTTAAATTTAGGTAAAGTCAGTTTCTCACCAGAACAAAATTGTTGACCGTTGGTTTCCTTTTTTCTCCATATTCATAGTTTTTTTTTTTTTTTTTTTACATTGATTGTCTAATATGTCGTCTGTGGCTTTACTCATCACCAGGTCCTGACCCGATGGCTAAGTAATTCTTACTGAGCTGAAAAGATGAAAGCTGTTTAATAAAACATAGCCACTAGAGGACTAACAGGTCTCACTCTCCCCTTTGCAAGTCACACTCTCATTTATTCATGAATTCATGCAATCATCTCCCCTTTTCCCCAAACCACCCTGTTCCTAGGAAACTGTCAAGTATATGAAGACAACTATTCATAGGAGGGGCATTAAGCTCTAAAGACAAATGCACTGGCACAAAGGCTTGAGTATGATGTCATTGAGTTTAATTCACAACATTTTATATCCTGAAGGACACGCAGTTTAGCAGAGCATTACAGATTTATGTTTCTGGAACAGAGTTGGTGGGCATATGTCAGCCTCACAATTGTCGAATATCACCTCATGGCAGACGCATAGATCTTGTCTCGGAAAGAAACTGATCTTTGTTCTACAAATTGCATATGGTTGTTTTGGGTGGAGAGGAGAGATTTCCAAAATAATTCAAACCAGAACCCCTTCCTCTTGTATTTGTGAATCATGTCTTGTACAAGTACATACAAATGTGTTCATATTTGTGCAGGTAAAGAAACCCAACCCAAGGCAGGAGTCAGGATTCTTGCTCTTGCTAATCAAAGGCATCACAGTCTTAATGTGATTGCAATCATACCCTAATCAGCACTTGACAAATTGCCCTACACAGAAACCATCAGAGAAACAGATGGACAGAAAGAGACACAATATAACCGAGGTTGTTAAGTGTCCTGCTGAATCTGTGTATGTTTGCATATATATATATATATATATATATATATTTATTTTTTATTTTTTTGCATTAGATTGAAAAGATCAAGTTGTTGGCAGGCAAAGAGACGAACAGCAAAACAACAAGCTTAATAGAAACAGAAAAGACAAATGCTGCAGCCGTCATCTCACAGATAAACCCTCTGCACAAGCACTTGATTGCTGTCTAACAACTGACAAGGTCACTGCGTTATCACCCGGTTTCTCTTGTCCTCCCAGTGTCTCACACAAAGATACGTTTTTGCTGTTTGCTTCCAGTAATCTCTTTTCCTTTTTTCCTCATAGATTTTCTCTTTGCTTTTAATGTTCTTTAAAACATTTTGCTGATTATTTGCCTTATCTTCTCCACTTTTGAATTTTGTCTCCTTTCAAAAAGAGGTCTGACGATGCTTTAAATTCTCCACCTAATTGTGAAATAGAAACCAAAGCCTAGTTCACTAATGCAATATGAATTTTTTTATTTTTTTTTATTTTTTATTTTTTGTTATTCGTTTACATTCATCAAGTATAAAGATATTAATGAGCACAACTCCTATTGGTTTTGATCGTCCAAGTTTGGGACATCCACTTTTATAAAACTTATGCAGTTTGTTACCCAGAAGAACTATTGATTATTTACTGATTGACAATAAAACACTAAACGCTAGATAAACTTTACTCAGCTGAAGTGTGAGTCCTGACTAATTCATAGCAAGACTTTTACCAAGGAACTCTTGTCATTTTGTTAAAATGTAAACCTCAAGGCAAGTATGAGCGGACTGGAAACTATGTTCGCTTATACGGCATCCACCTCCACACTGTCTAGAGCCTGTCAGAACAAACAAAGGAAATCACTCACTCTCTTCGGTCAGACAGCCTGATGGCCATTGTAGAATGTAGATGGTGCTGTGCATGAGAGAAAAATATACGGTGTCAAAGATTTTTAACAGATCTCTCCCTCTTGTTATGTAGTGTAATTTTTACATATGTTAAAATGCTTTAAGCCTTTAAAGTTAGTTTGGAAATTTGTTGTTCAGATTTTGCGTCTCGAAACATAAAGTGTAATTTTGGTTTCACATTGAGAAATGGCTGGATTATTTTGGACCTGGTGGTCAAGCTTTGAATCCTGGAGCCTGATCCGGCCCAGCCTTAAAAAGCTACAGGAAGCTCCCTCCACAAGGGCCTAACACTTTTGAGAAGGGACATCGATGTCGGGTGTTTTATCTTTGGAGTTCTGAAATTGCAAGAGATAAGGTTCTGATTGTTGTCTGTGCTTGTGCACTGGAACCCAGATTAGATCTTGGAGTCTTCAGGTGGTGTCCTGAATCTGGGGTTTTCATTGTGCTCATAGAGAACTTCAGTGCCAGTGTAGCCAATATTGGAGCGACCTGGAAGGGTGTGATTAGTAGTAACAACCTTCCTGTTTCTTCTACAGGAGGTTCTTCTATTCAAGGCATGCCATGTCTCAAAAAAAAGAAACAAAAAGGAACATATTTCCAATAGGTGTACTTGGTAACAAGTCACCTTGGGTCAAAGGTCGATAAAGATTTTGCTTTTATGTAGTCAGACCTGCATCAGAGCTGTCAAGTGATCACTACCTGATGGTAAGTAGCATCTGGTAGTGGGGGAGGCTCCACAATAGACTTGGTAAACTCTTGTAGAATCCAGATGGACCTTGGTCAGAACCTCCAATGCAGACACAGTGGCTTGAAGATCTCTGGTGCCTGTTGTGATGGCAAGCAGATGACCTGTTGGAGTAAACTGTCATCAAATAGTCTCTATGGGCCCTTTAACAACAACAGCTTCAATAAGAACCTTTCAGCATTGCTTACATTTTAGACAACCAGACTTAAAGTGGTATGCTTTGTTTACATTTTAATTGCCCCAGCTTTAAGCGATTTAATGAGAATATCACTTTCCCTATATCTCTGACAGCATTAACAAAAGATAAATAAATACAATTCTGTAGTATGTTTCAAATGGCAAATAGCACTGTGTGGGGCCGTCTGCTTTTGAATGGTAGCTGACACTAAATGACATATGTCACGTTGACCCTGTAACATCTGGTGTCCGACACCAAACCAGTCTTTAGTCGCAACATGGCTCTTTTAGTGTGCCATGGCAAATAAAGAGGTGCAAGCTTTTTTTTCCCCTCTGTTCTGGTTGACATTTTCTCATAGCCATCACTCATCGCCTCCAGCCTGTCTTTTACTTTTGCCATACTTTCCATTTTTTCTACTTTTCGCCCTTTTTTCTATGTGTACCGATTCCACAGTTTTTGATTCATGGCTATGTGTGCGCCTGTTCTCTGCTGCTTTCATCCTGGTCAAAAATAATTGGTTCAGTCATCAAGCTTAACTACTACATTTAAGATGATGATGGTGTTTGCACGTTTCCTGCATATGACGGTGCCTCAGTTGTCCAAAGAAACTAGGGGCTTTCACTTGCCTTCAAAGAGCATCTGGCACACCATCTGACAAGTAGATGAGAAAATGTGCACACGTGTGTCTATAATGTTTGCGATTAGATGATATAACATAATTCAAATGGCTGGATAACTCTTCTTATGCAGTTATAGTCATATGATGGGTACTGCTGCATTGCTTTCTAGGTGGTATGTGTGGGTTTTAGGGAAAAGTGCAGTAAGTAATGCAGACAACTCTCATTTTAAACTTGCAGTGAGATTTCACAGTAAAAGTCAAATTGACAAATTAAAATGCAGTAAAGCCAAGTCCCAACAACTAATCTACTTTTTAAAAAAAATCTAATGGATAATGTAAGATCTTAACTGTTAGTTAAACTGGTTCTTTTCTTCATTAATATCCAGCATCAGAATAAACATGTATTCATTGTAGCTCCTTTAAAGTTAGCTTTTTTTGATCCAGTCAGCCAATATTATTAAATAGATCAGAATAGAGCAGTTTCTAGATAAAGCTCTTACTGTTGTTGTACAACCTTGCATACAAATGAAGATTTTCTATTCTTCGTAATATCTTGCTTCTTTGAAATACCTTTTTTCTTTTCAAACGAAACAAGACATTGATATTTTGAAATCAATAGTTTTCTCAAGAATCATGCACAGATTGAACTTTTTTTTTTTTTTGCAGAATTGAGAACACGCTTCCTGATCCCTATTTTATTTTCAACGACATTACATGCAGGTGTGCTGTGGAACCTGTCGTCGTGCGACGCCCTGAAGATGCCGATCATCCAAGATGCACTTGCAGTTCTGACCAACAGCGTCATCATACCGCACTCCAACTGGGACTCATCCCCTGGTCACCTCGATGACCGCAAACTCCACCTTCACACCTCCCAGGTGCTGCGCAATGCCACAGGCTGTCTCAGGTAAGAGACGCAATTTGCATCGCTACCGCTGCTAAAACGTCATAAGGCATCCATTATAGTTTATAATTTGTTCAAGTGCAATGAAAACATGTGAGTTTTAATGCATTAAAGACATAATCATGGCAGAGTAAATTTATTTACAAGCAAAGGTACACATTATTAATAAATGTACATGAGTTAATGTAGTGGAAAGTCTTTAAAACTACAAGATACAGAGGTCTGTGAGCCACAGAAAACAAATTTTGTACCTAAATGAGTTTCACGAGCTGCAGTTGGTATAAACGTCTAAACTGAACTCATTAACTCAAATTACCTTAGATATTTTTAATGGAATAAGATGTTTTTCATTGCAAATATTACATAGTGATCATGCTGCCGTGTGTGTCATTTTTAATTATGGCACCACTAAGAGATTAGCTCTCTAATTCACAGCTAAAAGAATAACTTTGTCTTGGTGTCAGGCCCTAAAATTGCCTATTAAGGTAGATTTAGTTAAATGAACCCTTTATACATACCTAACAGAAAAAGTGTTGGGTTCAAATCTCTGCCCTGCCTGTTTTTATTGTGTGTGGGTGTGTGTGTGTGTATGTTTAGTGTTTGAATGTGCTCCTGTTCATATACAGTTTTCTCTGGATACTATATTGCCTTTAGGTGTGCGTGCCTGTGTGTGTGGATGGTTGTCTGGGATTGACTGGCAACCTGTTTGATGTTTATCTCACCTTTCCTCAATGACTAAAAAAAATAATAATAATAATATTGGATTTTTTCCTACTTTTACCATGGAGTGTTCCACCTTAAGTCACACAATTGTTTATAGGAGCTTTGTGCCCGTGTGTCGGTACGTAAAGATGCGGGGGAAGATAGATGATGCTGTCACTGCACTGCTCACCACTCTGAAGCTACAGATGAAATGTTAAAGGAGAGGATGAACTGGAAGCAGAGGAGAAGGTAAAAATTGAAGGAAGGATTTAGCTGCGGTAAACACTCAGGGGGGGTGAAGGAGGTGTGTATAGCTGCTCACCAGCGTTGTATCCCATCTCACTATCTTTTCGAAGGGTTAATGTGACATTAGACTACAGTGTTCAGGTCTTTGTGTTTCCCAGCTCAATTTCAGACCTCTCACCTATCTCATTATCGCTTTGTTGTGAGAGCTCGTGCTGTTGTGTATTGCATGGGCATGCCTCCATATGTTTCTGTATAACTCTGTCTATTTTTCCTGAGTGTTTGTGTTTGAGCTCGCATGTACTGCAACCCTAAGTGGCGCACGCACACACACACACACACACACGTCAAAACAGACATGCAAAATTCAAGTGTTAGAAACACTAACTACAGAAAGCACACCTGGAAGGAAGTCACAGTGAGTCAACTGTTTCCTATTATTGGTTTGCATCTGTGTGTGCTCACTTTCTGCACACCTTCAGAAGTGTGTGCATGCTGTTGTGGTAACACTGCTCATTAAACTGAGTCACTCCTTGGGGCTGGGGGAGTGACTTATTCACAATGACTTCTATATGCAAATGTAGTCAACTAAAAAGTCATAGAGCTCTTTTGTTCGCCATTTCTCTCGCAACCCTTTTCCTTGTATTAAACTGAAAGGATTTACCGACCACTTCCACTACGAGCACCAGAATTGTGTTCTCCTAGTTTGTCCTCAGCCAGATAGGTGTTTGAACGCAGTATAAAAGAGAGCATTATTCTGTGTGGTTTCCATGTCTTTCAGTAAAAAGCCCTTTTAAGATTGCTGGATTTTTTTTTTTTTTTGTCAAGCAAGAGACGATTCCCAGTCTGCTCTTTATGAATTACACACACTGTATGCTATTTTTTTATTAATTTTGTTCTGTACATATTATGCACCCAGCAAAGGTGGATTCCTTTCAAAAATTCACATTTAAGCCAGTTGTGGTTTTTCTTATTGAAGAACAATCAGGACGCATGGTCAGAAACGGCTGCGTTTCTGTATTGCTTTCCTTCACATACATATATATTTCATGCATTTGCATGTCATCCGGTCATGGCCTTCTGTTGCCATTGTGCCCTCATTCACATAGAGACATACACACACAGACACTCGCACAGCGCCACCACACACCAGTTGTTTGAGACAGCCGTCAGATTGACATTGTCTGCTCGCCATCTGTCTCAGATTCACTCGTAATCTCATTGTCTTTTGTTTCATTTTGCTAAATTGCTACGAGTAAATTTGATGGATTTTCTTTTACATTATTTGTCGATGCATCCATGAGGAAAAAAAAAAATCTTTATTTGATTTAACCCTTGTGCGTGCGAGGACTGAGGTGAACATGGAGGACTATGGCAAATGATACAGGTTTCACGTATGTGGGGTCGGTTGGACCCCATTTCTACATACAAGGGTTAAAATGTGTAATAGAAAAACATATGCAACTGTTGTCAATCCAGCTTTTGCAAAATCAGAATTATTTTTTTCCTCAGTTTTATATTCTGAAAAATAAACGTTTTCCACACTTGAAGCTCATTTGTCAGAAGTCCTAGGAGGGTGGTTAACTGTGATCATAGCCTGTTTGAGCAGTTCTAAGCCGCACCAATGAGAAGCGGGGTTGTGGCGTTTGTATTTTAGAGATAGCTGGTAATCCCACACGTCTTGTGTCACTGTGATGTGGGAAGTTTGGGACACAGACTCTGTCTTGTTTGTGCTGTCAACCTCACTTCTCACAGAAGGACTTAACCAAAATTGCATGTCTGTTAGCGTGCTATACTCTGCCAAGTAATGGGAAGAAAAGACGGACAGTTTTTGGGTAACAGTTGACTTGCTATGCTCTGACTCATTGTTCGTATTTTAGTTGTCTCTCGTCCCACACCAGCTTATCTAAACTAATTATGCAATGCCGCACAAGCACTGAAAATAATAACTCTATACGGTTAAAGGAAGCCACAAATAGTTACTCATCAAATATTTTCTGACACTCATACGCGCACTTGGATTTTTTTTCTTAATCAAGTCGCCCATAGCAAAATTCATCAGAGTAAAACAAAGTCACCCTTATCTTGAAATTTGAGAAATTAATTTCATAAATCCATGGCCAGTTTTGAAGAGGTTAGCTGTTTAGACCACCAGAGCAGCATACTAATCCCTCCTGTTTAATAAATTTCTTATGACCTTATTCTGCTGATTGTAATCACTGCTAATGGGTCACGCAGCAAAAACGCATTCAGTCAAAGTAAGCAGCTGGATCTAATCAACCACTGAGCAGTTCTGTTCAGTCTGACACCTTGGTTTGTAAAAGAAGTAGTCTTACTGTTTTTCGAATTGAAAAACAAAAGTATGTGATCTAAAAATTTTGAACTTTATTTGAATTCCAAGCAGGAATGTTGCCCTAATTTCCAAAAGAATGACTGTTTTTTATGCAAAATCCCAGACTTTTTATTTCAGTGCTATCATACTTAGCATCATGTTTTAATATATTTGTTTTGGTTCAGTCATGTCAATATCTTTCAGTCGTTTATATGTTCTGTTTTATAATAAGTGCTAGTTCTCTTGGGACTGTGATTACTGGTATTCTAAAGCTGTTTTGTTCATGATTCAACTGGATATTTTAGTTTCTAGTGTAATTGGTTACAAAATGCATTTTACAACCTTTTAGAAAGAAAAGAAAGATGCACTCTATTGTGATCATCACAGGCCAAGAGACTGAAATCAGCCATTCAAATATATTTGTCTATATGGTAAAAAAAAATAATAGTCTGCCTAAAAATTGGTTTACCCTTTTCCTGGTGTTATTAGTAGAGCTTTTAGCATTGTTAGTGAAGTCATGTGATGCAAACTGTTTTACCAAGAAAAGCTTTTTGCTTCATGCACTCTGTGCGTTTGTTGCAGTATTGTTTTTTTATCGTAGATGTTGGTTGAACATGGAACATGTGCTTACTCAACTGTGAAAAAAATCATTTTGTTCCTACCATATATAATGTTTAGGTAATGTTTGAACTACAGTCATCAGTTTTCTTCTTTTTGAATGAGAGGAAACTGTGCAACTATGTGGAAGCTATAGCATTTTATGTTTAATGCTATCTGTCCATTCATTAAAAAAAAAATCATGCAACTCTTTACGTTATCATTGGACTGTCTTGCTTTTATAAAGGCACTCAAGCTTCCTTCACCTAAAAAATAATAAAACTGAGGTTTTGGTACTTGGGAGATGAAATCTTTCCAATACCAATACAACATCTCTCGTGTGAGAAATCTTGGCATATTCTTTGACAGCTTATTTAAAATCACAAAGCAAGTTCAGTTGTCAAGATGAGCTTTGTCCAGCAACAAAGTTGAAGCCTCATCTTTTTCCTTAGGATATTGAAGGATTGATGCAGCTTGTACAAAATACTACTGCTCACCTGTTAACAGGAACCTGAAAATAGGAACAACTGCAATAATAGTTTTTCTCCAGTGTTTTCTTAATTGTAACAGGATTGATTTAAGAAAAAACCTACTGGTTTTTAGGGTCACAATAGTTTTGTTGCATCATGCTTAAAGAGTCTTCTAAAGTACTGTACACCCATAAGAACAATTAGGTCTAACAACCAGTTGCTCTTATACGTCCAATCAAAAAAAGTAAGAGGTGACCGTGCCTTCTCTGTTGCAGCAGAAAAACGGTGGAATAAATGACCAATTAATATAAGTGCTGCTCATAATATCGTGACTGTTTCTATTTTTTACATTTCTTATTTTTTTACACAATGAATTACTTTAATCTCGTCTCCTGTGTGTGTTTTTACCAACTCCTTTCAGTTATTTGGTCATGCTGTGCTGCACTATACTTGTTTGTGCTTTATAAATAAAGTTAACCCACTGACAGTTCAAATCAAAGTAAACAATATATTTTGTTGCTCAATAGCTTAAAGTGTCTGACTTTTAAATTGTAAATTTATTTGCCATGCAAAATCTTCCTGTGCTTCTCTATTTTCAATGAGGAATTTGGCAAAATGAGAATCATAAATATGTACTGCGTATACGTATTTGGATGACA